TGTTCGAAATCACCTCCCGAATCACCTCTTTCAATTTGTTACAACATTTTCGAGACACTCTGTATAGAATTACATATAGTAAAATTTATCTATATGTAAATACTAAGTACATCAACCAACGAATAATGCTTATTATTGTTATTGTAATAGATTGGATCAATTCGACTAAAAAGAGACTTTTAAACCGTGATGTCAGACTTTTTTACGCGAGGCTTCGTTTTTGAGAAAAGTGACTTTGACTACTTATCAGTTACGCGCGCAGAAGCTTATTTTTGTGCTTATCTGATTTCGCTGTAAATCAATTGTTGTGTATGCTCACATCCACAATCAGATGTCTAAATCGTTCTAAAAAATCGTAATTTATCGTGTTATAAATTAATGTAAATTCTATCGTATATACATAGTGTCGCGACGACCCTAAATAATTATGCAAATTCGGATGATACTACGATAAGCAAGAATATCTTTTAACTGATTTTGATGAAATTTGGTGTATTCGTTTGTAATTGTACCTTTTATCTTAATGCTTTATTTATGTACTCTTTATTTTATTCTTTTTACAATTGCTTTTCGTGATATGGCAAGATCATGTTTGGTAAAAACATTTTGTTTTCTTTCATTTGCGGTCACCTTTACAATTTTGGGAATTGTAAAAGATGAATGAGATGGAAGGTAGAAAATGTATTCAAAAATAATAATATTGAAGGAAAAATTTATGTATAACTTCGCGTAACAGGGTTTTCGACGATTTCGATGATCTTGGTGTTGTCAAGGTTATTATTCTGAACAATTTTTTAATACACATATACGTAAAGTAGCAAAGTTTCAATCTGATATAAAAATTGCAAAATTCAAAATAACGGATTCAATATGGCCGACATGTATATTTAAAACTTATTAGATTCTCATGAAACTTGGTATCTATGACTTATTTCCAATAGAATAAAAGTTTGCCCAAATAACTGTTCGAAAAAAATAGTTATAGAGAGCTTTTATTCTGTGTTATTCGAGTAAGTTTCTGTTCATTTCCGTTATCGGCTAATGACAAAGTAGAATTACAATATTTTTAAATACTCAGGAGCATAATGGTAATTAAATGGTTTAGTTGTATTTTTAACTGCTCTAATCGTCTACTAATCGTGTGCCGTAAATTACTCTTGAGAAGACGTGGTAATACAAACGCAAACATTTTATTCGTTATTAGACTCGTAAATTTCTCGATCAGAATGATGCAATCAGGCGTAGTTATAAGCAGTTTCTGTCACAAACCGCTAGATGTCACTAGCTTGCCGGTATCGTGGCGCTACTGACAGGACTCCTACGTTACCGACCGCGACTAATAGAAGCGTGTCGCCGACAAGAAGAGAAGGTTCGAGAAGTTCATTTTTTTTTTCAATCTCGCCATACTACCTCGTATGATAACCGAATATTACCAACCTCAAAACATTACAAAAGTATAAAACTATTTAAGCGCTACCAACTTATTGGAATTCATACTCTAACACTTATTGTATTATTTATTATTTATTATTATACTTATTTATTACTTTTGGGAGTAATATTAGGTTAAGTCACAAGTTTTGATACATTCCTGTTTATGTATAAATAAAGCAAATCTAAAAAATTTCTAATATATGTGTCAGCTATATTGAATCCGCCATTTTGAATTTCGAAATTTTGATGTCAGATTTATCATCAGAGACCACAGAAACCATAATGTACCAATTTTTAAACAAATCCAATAAATTTCTAATATACGTGTCGGCTATATTGAATCCGCCATTTTGAATTTTGAAATTCTGAAATTCTTACTGGAATAACACTGAGAATAAAAGCTCTCCATAACTATTTATTCGAAGTTATTTGGACAAACTTCTATTCTTTTGGAAATAAGTCATACATACCAATTTTTAAGCAAATCTAATAAATTTCTAATTAATACATGTCGGCCATATTGAATCCGCCATTTTGAATTTCGAAATTATGATGTCAGATTCATCATCAGCGACCACAGAAAGGATAAAGTACCAATTTTTAAGCTAATTTAATAAATTTCTAATTAATACATGTCGGCCATATTGAATCCGCCATTTTGAATTTCGAAATTCTGATGTAAAATTCATTATCAGCGACCATAGAAACCATAATGTACCAATTTTTAAGCAAATCTAATAAAAAATTTAGTTTGATTTATCGTTTATTGTATTTGTTTTTCTTTTATTTGATTACAATAGAAAAAAGCAGTACATGCATTCATTTTTTTTTTTTTTAATTTCTTATATTTCACACAGTAAAATTTTAAAATAAAAGAATCTTGCGAATGCATTTATTAGATTTCAAATTACATTTTTCCAAACACATGACTTGATAAGCATTTAAAAAACAGCCTTATTTCAATAGTTAGATTGTTGTTTTAACGCCGATTTACTTTCTTGCGTATTTCCACATAATGTTGGTACATCTCTAGGTAACAGTGGTGCTACGATATTTTTGAAAGTGACCAATGGGCACATGTCATCGCAACCAGGTAGTCGAAGTGTCCTTATTTGATCTTTGTTTCTGTAAAACACCTGTAATAATACAAACAAAAAAGTAAACATATTTTAATAAAAAATGGTAATCGTTATAAAAATATTTTGAAGGCCAGCTTCTTGTAATGGCCAAAGAGTAGCAAGAGTTAATATTTAATTATATGCTATAGTAGCAAGAGTTAATATTTGAATAATTAAATATTAATTATTGTTACTTATTTATGTTATTACCTGGACGTAATATTGATTATCGTCTTCGTGTAATTCAAATATGACAGTGCTGCTATAGGAAGGGATCTCGTAGTCAAAGTTATCTAATACTACGAGTATAGGCGCAATAGTTAATTCATGAGCAGCATACATAAACGCTTTTCGATTATCCGTCCCATTTATATGGTTGTCAACGTTTTTTAACCATTCCTGAATCCATATTCCTGTGAAACAAGATAATCAATTATTGTATTAAGTATTTAGGCTATCAGGCCATTGGCAAATCTAATAAATTTCTAATATATATGTCGGCCATATTGAATCCACCATTTTGAATTTCCAAATTTTAATGTCATATTCATAATCAGCGATCACAAAAACCTTAATGTATCAATTTCTACGTAAATATAATAAATTTCTAAAATATATGTCGGCCATATTGAATCCGCCATTTTGAATTTCCAAATTTGAATGTCATATTCATAATCAGCGATCACAAAAACCTTAATGTACCAATTTTTAAGCAAATCTAATAAATTTCTAAAATATATGTCGGCCATATTGAATCCGCCATTTTGAATTTCGAAATTATGATGTCAGATTCATCATCAGCGACCACAGAAAGGATAAAGTACCAATTTTTAAGCAAATCTAATAAATTTCTAATTAATACATGTCGGCCATATTGAATCCGCCATTTTGAATTTCGAAATTCTGATGCAAGATTCATCATCAGCGACCATAGAAACCATAACCCGGGATCTTGAATATCGGAAGATTTTTCTGCTGTTTTCCTCACCAAAATAAAACCAAGAAATCAGACTACTGTTGTAAGAAATTTTGGAAAATGATTCTATCTGTAGAACTAAAAAAACTCAAAATTTCTTGCACCTTTAGTTCAATAGCTTTTATAGCCTAATATACTAATACCACTAATGTAATGAATAAGTACTATATGCTAACAAGTAAATATTATCTTATTAAAATATGTTATCGTTAAGAATGTTGCACATATCATTAACAAAAAGTACAATAAACATTTTAAACTTACCACCCGATAGCTGTCTCAATTCTGGTGTCCAAGTTCGAATCAAAATATCAAACGTGGCCAGTTCGTTCAATTTTCCATTTGGGAAAACCTTTTTCGTCCATTTAGGTAATTCCAAGCCAATATCTCTCTATTATATTATATTGAATAAATATTAAAAATATAATAAATATATTATATTTTAATATTAAAAAAATATATAATAAATATTTAAAAAAGATAATAAATAATAAATATAAAAAATTGAAATATTACAAATATCAAAGATTATAAAATATTAAAAAGTATTATAAATTTAAAGCGTATCTGTAGTATATGTAATAATATTGTTCACCTGCGCGTACAACATTTGACGCAAACTGAATATGTTGCGTTGCGTGATGTTGCCCCCTGTATGTTGAGACAGGTATCGATAAATCTCTCTATTTTGTTTCATAATATTCATCACATCCGCGTCCGTCTTTTCCACGTGTTCTCTCCATTTCTTTGCATTCGCGCAAAACAGGCCAATATAAAGATAATCAGTCGAGTATGCTGGCGCCCATATTGGTATAGGTTGCCAATCTAAATATGGATTCCACCTGTAACATTAATTCATTTCAGTTTTATCGATCAATGTTTCTTTACAGTTTAAAAAAAAAGCTTCGTTAACAATTTAGAATCATCTTTACATTTGTTCTTTGCACGGTGGATACAATCCAGCTGCCACCAGTTCGGCAGACATTATCACTCTCTCTATTTCATCCGCGCGAAACCAGACGACATCTTTCGAATAAATTGTTCCTAAGAATTCGTCGTACCTTTCCCGAAAGTATTGGCCAAGCTTGTACGCCGACATTTTACCAACCTACAAAAATTAAGAGACTCTTATATTAGATACAGGGTGTTCCAAAAATGTGGGAAGTTCTTGAAAGGGGTTCACAAGGTGATTTTAACAACTTTTTCTTTTGGAAAAATGTTGTCCGACGCTTCGTTCTGGAGATATTAACAGAAACTCCACGACCAATCAGAGCGCGAGTGTCCCGGCGGCACGCCCGCGGTAGGCGTGAGCTACACGCTAGGCACCCGCCCTCTGCCGGCAGACTCGCGCTCTGATTGGTCCGAGTTAATATCTCCTTAACGAAGCCTCGGACAACATTTTCGCAGAGGAAAAAATTGTTTCAAGTCACCTCCCGAACAACCCCTTTCAAGGTGTTACAACATTTTTGGGACACCCTGTATACAGTCAATCCCATAAATATTGATAGGAAGACATGTGTTTAAATTAAATAATAGGTTTGACATACTGGAATAATTTTCTTTTATAAATATATACATGTATACAATATACAGGGTGTCCCAAAAATGTTGAAGGTTCTAGAAACGGGTGGTTCGATTACTTCCGATTGTTCAACATTTAGTCGATAACATAGGTAGCAATTATTTAATTATCTCCAATTCTACAGGGTGTCTTAGAAATCTTTGAATGGTCTGGTTCAGGAGGTGATTTGAAACAACTTTTTCCTTAGCGAAAATGTTGTTCGAGGCTTCGTTAAGGAAATATTAACAAAAAACCCCACGACCAATCAGAGCGCGAGTATTCCGGCGGCACGCCAGCGGTAGGCGTGGGCTACGCGTTAGGCGAGCGCCCTCCGCTGGCACACTTGCGCTCTGATTGGTCCGGCGTTTTCTCTTAATATCTCCATAACGAAGCCTCGTACAACATTTTCGCTAAGGAAAAAGTTGTTTTAAATCACCTCCCGAACCCCTTTCAAGGACCTCCAACATTTTTGGGACTTTCCTCCCACATCACAGCATACTTTTTAGTGCAGTTTTAATGTTTCTCGAAGTCGGTTATATTTTTTTTTTCCAATAATTAATTTATTCGTATGAACTCTTACATTTATTTGCGAATAAACTTGCAAGTTGAGAAACGAACGTTATTTATGAGACAACCCATTTATAACATTAAAGAATATTATAATTATTGGACAAACAATTATCTAGATAAAATAATCGCGTAAAGCAAGTAACGTACGTTCGTTAGGCCGCCATGTCCTGCTGGCTCGTACGTCATGTTGGCGTACGGATCGTTCGGATATAACGTTCCTCCTGCAGTAGGCATTCGGTTTCCATGTCTGAATACTGTCTGGATTAATTTGAGTTCGGCGAGACATGGTTGGAAATAAAATTGGCAAGCAATAATCGTCAAGGTCCACGCAATATTCATGTTTCTGGAGATAGGAAGGCTGTTAACATAACAAAAGACATGTTAATAAAATCTCATTGCATATTCATAGTTTTTATGGGTCAATAAAGTAGACTTTATATAGAGAAGTTTGGAGTTTCTTGATACATAGTTTCCAATCAATGTTAATTCTTGAATATATGAATTACTTGTAAAATAGATTCTTAGATTTATAGGAAACATATTCTACAAATGTTAATTCAAATTCTTGAACATATGAATTACTTGTTAAAATAGAATTGTTAGTTTTATTGGAAATGTCTTTTACACTCATTGTCAGTATTAATTACACAATATCTCGTATAATTTTAGTAACTCGTACAGGTTGTACGAATTCTACAATTTGAAAAAATATGTAGGATGTGTAAAAAATGTTGGAGGTCCTTAAAGGGGGTGGTTCAGGGGCTGATTTGAAACAACTTTTTCCTTAGCGAAAATGTTGTACGAGGCTTCGTTAAGGAGTTATTAACGGAAAACACTAACCAATCAGAGCGCTCTAACGGTA